GCACCTGGTAGAATAGGACTGTCGTGTGTCCCCCCCCCCCTTGGTTAGTTGTGCTCTATTTAAGCATCACAAGCCCAAGGTTCTGGGTTTGTGATAGAGACAAGACAAGACTGGAACTGTCTACAAAAGCCTGTATCCTGATCCTGAATCCCAGTCCTTCCTAGATCTTGTATCCTAGTCTTTCCTTGGCTCTTCAATCCTATACCAGTCTTGTTTTAGTTTATCTAGGACAAATAGTGCATAATTCATAAATAGAATTGATCTATACAAAATTATTAAAAATTGATGATTCATACATAATTCATATAACTCATGTGCAAAAAGAATTAATCAAACATATTAACCCACAGTAAAAAGATGGGTAACTGAAATACCCAATTAATAACCAAAGTAATTAGTGTAGGAATCCTACTGTATACAAAAACAAATTATTAATATATGTTTTATATTATAATAGTCCATATCATCATGTGCAAAAAAGTTATATAAAAGAGTCCATAGCACACTATAGATATATTCAATAGATATATAGTGCTCTATTTCTATAGATATATTCAGTTGTTCAAACTTAGATGTTTGATTGTGCAGCAGCTTGGAGACCTTTTTATGAGGGTTACATATCCAGAAGCGCAGATTTGAATTATTAACATTGTTTTAGTTTGTTTTGTTTCCTGTTCCTGTCTTGTACCTTGCCATCAGTCAGTACTCCTCCTTGTTCCTGGGGGCCAGCCTGTGGCATCACCTGATCAAAGCAAATAGTTTGCTGGGGGCATCCAAGTACTGGTATGCATGCTTGCCCTATGGGAACGGCAGCTGCTAAAGGTGAAACAATTTGTCACTATTGGCTCTGACAGATTGCGTCCACAGCTGGTCCTGACACAGATTTGTTATTTATTTGCCAGCTTGATTGGCTGGTTCCCAGATCAGTATGCAAAAGTAAACTCTCCCACATGTGGACTTCAATGCATATAATGCAAAGCGTGTCAATGTTACGAGCAGAAAGACAAGTCCTACCATATAGCCTCCAGGTTCTCTTTATTACAACTTTAAAAAAGGTATGTAAACCATAACATCAAATTCTATGATGTGCTCCCGTTGCTCTGCTAAACATACCACTCAAAGTGTTTTGTTCTATCTGTTCAATAATACCTGATGATTTTGCCACAAATCCTGTGAGCAGATAACATCCTGTGCACAAGGCAGGGTGATGGAGATGTGGAGAGCGCTGGGTTATTGATAATCCTTCAAATATTAAGTTAGCATGGCTGACACCACATGCTTAGGAATTCACAGCTATGTCATCACTTCAAAGAGGTGCGTACTATATTCCTGGCACATCAAGTTACTTTTCTGTACTTGCAGCATGTTTAAAAGGCTAAACCTTGGGGAAATGTACTTGTTTTTTTTTTTTCTTCCTTGACATGCCCTTCAATAAGTAGTATTATAAACATTTTGTGTGCTCGAAATGTGTGCTACTTAATAACCTTACTTCCGAGGGTGCAGTCACAACAAGGGGAGAGCAGCAGAAGCCCAGAAAGAATGTATTGTGTGCACCATTGAGAAAGCAGGAAGAGAAGTGCTGCTGGAGCTCGGAGAGTCCCAAATGTGTGTTCATATTTCCTCGGCTAAACATCCATTTATTCTGAATCCTTTCAGTATTTGGCTGTCTTCAGCTGTTTCTTGCAGGTCTACCAGTGTGCCAAGAAAGTATACATTGCTATACATACATTTATATGAACCCAATACATATGGGGGGGGGGGGGGGGGGGGGGTGTGGTGTGTAT